AACCCGCATCCCCTGCATCGGCAGGCGGACTCCCAACCACTGCGCCACCAGGGAAGCCCCTCATCCTTATTTTTTACCCTTGTTCTTTCTTCAGAGAAGAGCTCTAACCTGACTTCTGTCTGTCTTTTGCATTACCTCAACTTGTCTGAGAGGTAGAGGTCTTTGTTCCAAAGGCCGTCTCTTCTCCAGTGCTTGCTGTCCCACTCCTTTGAACTTCTCTTGGACCTGGTATTTACACTTAGTTCATTCCCTCCAACAATTTTAGTTTCCTCCTTCCTGTCTCCATTCGAGTTTGGATTTGTGTCTTGTACCTTAAAACAGCTTTCATTTCATTTTCTTGAACATTTTGCTACTGAATTACTTCACTCTTGTTAAACTTTTTGAAGGGGTCCCCTATATATCTGTTGGCTCCCATCTCTCCACTATCAAGCTTTCTTTTACATTATTGTTGATTCAACATAAAAACATGCAAGAACTTGTGTCCTTCCACATCCACCATTTTTGACACATGAAATCTTTGCTCTGTGTTTTCTTCTTGTGTCTGCCTTAAGGGTCAAGCCCTTTTTCCTTTGTGTTTTATTCTCTGACATATCTCCATCAACTGTTGCCGTGCTTTACTTTGGAAATAAGGAGTTTTTTCTTTTTTTTCCTCTTTTTGTTTTTTTTTAACATCTTTATTGGAGTATAATTGCTTTACAATGGTGTATTAGTTTCTGCTGTATAACAAAGTGAATCAGCTATACAGATACATATATCCCCGTATCTCCTCTCTCTTTCGTCTCCCTCCCACCCTCCCTTTGCCACCCCTCTAGGTGATCACAAAGCACTGAGCTGATCTCCCTGTGCTATGTGGCTGCTTCCCACTAAGGAATTTTTTTCAAAAACATTTTTTTTTAAATAACTACACTTAGCAATATGAAATGACATTTTGCGTTGTATAAAGCATATATAGATAAGTGAAAACCAGCATTTTTTTGAGGTCTTACTCTGCTGCTAAGAACTTCATATGTATCCATTCATTTAATCTTACTGTGAGGTTATGCTCTATTATTAATTTTACAGATGAAGGAACTCAGGCTCAGAGCATTTTCAGTAACTTAGCTAAGTCACACACCTCTAGAAAGGATAGGAGTTTGGATTCTAGCCTAAGCCATCGGCACCAACCAGTGCTTTTTTTTTTTTTCTTCCAACCAGTGCTTTTAACTGCTAGTTATAGCTGCCACTTTGTAAACGATACCAAATCAATAAAAACACTTACATAAAGAGATTTTACATGTTAATGAGGCCAATAAGTCTTTAGAAGAGTTGTCAAAAGACATGAACAGGCAGAAAAATAAATTTGGAGGCATATGAAGAAAAGCTCATTTGCATTATCAGTCTCAGGTATATTAAAATAATAATATTTTAAATAATAATTTAAAATATCATTTTACCTATCAGATTGTTAGATTGATACGTTTGTCTTCTTTCTGTTGACATTTTTCTCCTTTTTTAAAAAAATAGTTTTTAAGAAACTATTCTCTGAATATTTACATTGCCTCTTGTTCTTTTTAAAAATGTGCATACTCTTCCATTATCAATTTTTACTGCACTTTTTAAACATTTCATTCTGAAATAATTTCAAACTTAAGAATATTACAAAAAGAAGAATTTCTGAACACCCAGTTTTCTCAAATGTTAACATCTTAACACAAGTATAGTGCATTTATCAAAATCAGGAAATACCACTGATACAATTCTAATCTTATAGACCTTTTTCAAATTTTGACCATGGTCCTAATGTTCTTTCGCACATTGGATTTCATTGCCATGTCTTCTTAGTCTCCTTTAGTCTGGAATCCCTGAATCTTTCCATTATCTTTCATGACCATGACACTTTTGAAGAGCACTGGCCACTTTGTAAAATTTCCGTCGGTCTGATATTTCCTCATGATTAAGTCCAGAGTTTGCATATTTGGCAAGAGTGTCAGAGAGGTGACGTTGTGTCTTTCTCAGTGCATGATATCAGGAGGCACATGATAGCAGTTTGTCCTGTTACTGGGAATATTAACTTTAATCATTTAATTTAGGTGGTGTCTGCCAGGTTTTTCTGCTATAAAGTAACTTCTTTTTCCTTTGATTAGTATCTTATATATGAACTTGGACAACTGAATTTAAATATAGTGTATATTTAGTTTGGTTTGATTTTTTTTTTTTCTTTTCTTTTTTGATGGAATCATAGTTGATCCACCTGAAGAATTAGGAGCTAGTATTTCTGTCACTTCAGATGAGCTAGAGAAATTGCTCTACAAACCCCAAGATGGTGAATGGGGTCAGAAATCTAGAGATGAAGAATGTGAACGAATTATTAGTGGTATAGATCAACTTTTGAATCTTGGTAAGTTTTTTTACAGTGACAAGTTTATGTTCAAGATTTCTTTTCCACAAAAGTATTTTAAAACAGTAGCATAATTGTGGTTATGTTCTTTATTACAATTTGTATTTATTACTTTTTGGGTAAGCCTGTAGTGCTAATTGTAGCTCTGTTTTATGAATGATTTGTAGAGAAATGTCACTTAGAGGTAATGAATTTCTCGATGAAAATTCTTCCTTCTGCCATTACAGATATAGCAGCAGCTTTTGCAGGTCCAGTTGATCTGTGTACATATCCAAAGTACTGTACTGTAGTGGCCTATCCAACTGATCTGTACACAATTCGAATGAGACTTGTTAATCGATTTTACAGGTCAGTAGAAATCTACTTTAAAAAAATTTTGAAATGATATTTGGCCATTTAACCAGGTAGAGTTAACAGAGGTAGTGGTGGCTGGTAGTGACAGTGGTGGAGTGGGGGCTGATTGACATTATTTTCTGTTTCGTTCTCTTCTTTTGTTATAGTCATTTCTTGGTCCTGTGTAAAGCAGTGTGTTAGATGCCTGTGGGTAGGTATGGATAGAACCTGGATAAGGAGAAGTACCATGTTTCATTCCTCAGTCTTTAGTAGTCTGTTTTTCTTGCAAAAGCTGCTCCATTTAAATATAAAATTTAGTTAATAATGATTTTGGTCTTTGAAACATAAATCCCCAGAGTCATCAACTTTTTATCTCTGGCTTCTAGAGCTTTGAAAACTATAAAATTTCCCATTCTCAGTGATTTTTTTTTTTTTTAAAGCAGGTGATGGTATTCTGTATGATTCAGCTGCTTTGAGAAATTATCTTTACAAAAAACTGACTTCTTGAGTTCACATTGTTGATGTTAATTTACCTCTGTAGTGCATTCCTTCAGAAACCAGTTTGTGAGTTTATAGTCAGATTGACTTTCTTAGGATTGATGGTATTTAACACATTTTCTTCATTGAGTCTCAATAGCTTCAAATATACCTATAGGCAGTGTGAAAAGGGAGGGTTGCTCTTTTGGTTTTCTGGATGTGATTAAGTGATCTGTTACGACTTTCAGTCCTTAAATGTATTCTCTGCAGTTCAGCTTCCAGTATAATTGCTTATGACTGTGATCAAGTTGACAGTATTAGAAAGTTATTCATTATAACTTTGCACTTACGGTTTAATTAATATATCATGCTGGCTTAACATGCTGGATTTTTTTACTTGGTTTCTGTCTTTTCATTTTTTTAAGCCCTAAATTGCCTGTTTTTTACTTTGAAGGAGGCTATCTGCATTAGTCTGGGAAGTCAGATATATAGAACATAATGCCAGAACATTTAATGAACCTGAGAGTGTAATTGCAAGATCAGCTAAGAAGATAACTGACCAGCTTTTGAAATTTATCAAGTAAGTGACCTCATATTATAGATGTTGTGGAAAAGTGACTTTGCATATTGTGCTCTTAAAACTATCCAGTTCTTAATTTGTGCTCTCTGAATTATACCCTTTTAACGTGTTACATTAAATGACATTTCTTTACATTTCTTCTTTTGTGATTGTAATTTAGGTAAAGGAATGAGAAATTGAATAGTCCAATTTTTTCTATTTTTAAAAATTTTGAAATAATTTTATACTAAAGAGAGTTGCCCTATGTATATATATACCCTTCACCTGTTTTCCCCTTAGGTTAACATTTTACACAACTGTGGTGTCCTTATTAAGTGTTAAGAAATTATCCTTGATACAGTACTATTGACTAAAGTGTAGAACTTATCTGGATTTCATCAGCTTTTACATCAATTTTTTTTCTGTTTCAGGATCCAATCCAGAATTCCCACTGCATCCACTGTTTTGTTTTCTTAGTCTCTTTTAATCTGTTCCCTAGTCTTTCCTTTCTTTTATCACTTCATCATTTTTTATGAGTGCTGGACACTTATTTTGTAGTGTGTAATTAATTTGGCTCGTCTGATATTTTCTCATGATTAGATTGAGTTTTAATCTGTTTTGGATTGTATCCTGTGAATATTCCACACTTTTCTTGCATTTGGAAATCGATTTGGACTAGTAGGATGAAAACTGACCTGCAAATTGAGATCCAGGCTCTAACCTAATCTGTTCTGGTGAACTTTTCTGGGTGACTTTGCACACATTACTCAGCCTCTTTCCTTTAAAATGAATGATGTTGCTATATGACCTTGTATGCCTTTCCCCCAGTTTTAAAAATTCTTTGGAAGAATTATATACTGGAGAAGATAATTTATAAACTCTGACATCATTTTCAGTATCTGGCTACAAACTGGGGAATAACTGATTCCAGCTGTTTCACTCTCCTGGGCTGAATCTGTCTGATGTCTGGAGGACTCAAACTTACTGCCTCTCCTCCCAAAGTTTCTTCTTTCTACTTCAGGAAGGTCACATACCCATTTTCATCTCCGTTGTGTCTAGATACCCCTATTTTATGATTCTTTCTTCTGCTGTGTTTACAGTGAGGTTAAGACATAATTTATTTTAGTTTTTACTTCCTTTTTTGCTTCTATTCTTTTATATCTCAAATCAACCATTTTCCTGGTACTCACTGTGCAAATATTAGTAGTGGTGATAACTTTGAAAAACTCATCCGTATATTCATCCAGTTGAGGCTATACATATAGTACTTCTGTACACACTTAAATTGAAAAAAAAAAATTAACTTTCAGTGTTCTAGTATGGTCAGTTGTTTCCACAGAGGATAGAGTAAAAACCTGATATTCTACTGCTTGAAATTAGGTGTGCATAGTTGGGGAACTGTTTGCATAGTTGGGGAACTGTAGTTTGAATATTTGGAGACAGGGACTACATTTGCATACTGTTAAATTAAAAAATTGTCTTTTAGGAGTCAAGACTGTACAAATATCTCAGAACTTTCTAACACTTCTGAAAATGATGAGCAAAATGCCGGGGATTTGGTATGAAGTTTGTCAATTTTATAATGATTTTTGTTAATTTCAAATGATAACTTAGAATGAAGAGTGAAGTAGAAACCGTTGCTTACCTAAATCAATTCTTGCTATATTCCAATGAACTATGAAAATAGGGCACTTGATAAAACTACATTTTTAAATTATCTAGATCATCAGTGAGGTAATAGCCAATAATTGATATTAAATAAACAAGTTATGTCTAAGTGAGTTAACTTAGGTGTGGAATATGTTCTCTTTCCAAATTTGAGATAGAGAAAGGTGTATTATAAGAAGTACCTTGGATATGTTTTTGGTAAAATCAGCATCTGAGGGAATTCCCTGGCAGTCCAGTGGTTAGGACTCGGTGCTTTCACTGCCGTGGCCTGGGTTCAACCCCTGATTGGAGAACTGAAATCCCACAAGCCATGTGGCACAGCCAAAAAAAAAAATCAGTATCTGAGAGTTGGATTTAATTGTAATTACAAATTAATGAACTTTACCATGCAGTAAGTACCCTAAAATCCTTCACTCAAGATGGTGTTGACGTGTAAGTAAAGGCAGATATCATTGATACTGTGTAATTTCACTTCATAGAAAATCAGGTTGTTGTATGGAGTTGCAGGAAGGATATTTTTTTAAAAACAGTGTGGTGTCAGTTTCTACACGAGCTATTATTTTAGTTCACTGATTTTCATTGGAAATAAGAATGGGGATGCTAATATGTGATTTAGGGAATAAGAAAATGTGTAGCATACGAAATGTAGGAATCTGTGGGAGACTCTTCTGAGTTTTATGGAAGAGGTAAAAACACAAATTTAAAGCTCCTTGGGCATGTCTTCTGTGGACATGCACAAGGCAACTTTTTATAGCTATATTTTGGATTTAGTGCATGTTTACGTTAGGGAATGTAAATGGTTATTAAGAATAAGAATAAGGGTTGGTTTCTTGGAGGGTGAGTGCCACAAAGACCATCTGATAGTCTGTATTTTGAGATTTTGTTAACAAGTTATAACCCCCGTAAACCTAATGTCTTTGATATGCTAAGATTATTGCATATCTAATGAAAATACTAACACTTAAAATGCTCTGGTTTTTATTCCTAGGATGATAGTGATCTTCCTAAAACATCTTCTGGAAGAAGGAGAGTAAGTTAATTTGTGTGATTAACCTTAGTTGTTTATTTACTCTGTGTTTTAAAATCAACATAAGATTTTAGGTGTTGTCTTTGAAAAGTTACATTAATATTGAATATTTTATAAGAGAAATGGGAGAAATCACTGTAAGGTGGATGGCTAGGTAAGGTTTAGTGGAAGGGTTGGGATTTGGACTGTGTCCTCAGAATGAGATAGAGTAAGAAGAGGACACTCGAAAAGTAAGGGTTATTATGATTCAAGCTAAAAAAGTAGGAAAGTGTGGCATGTCAGTGGGCTACTGAGAGCACTGGCCTGACTGGCGTAGGGGTTGAATTTTGGAGTGAGCAAAGTGGTTGTGTCTGGCTGTTATGTTGGGAGCAGATTATGGTGATACTGTAAACCAAAGATTTCTTTTAAATTTACAGTAGAGAGTCAATTCCATAGCCAAAACAGATTTTTTTTTTTTTTTTTTTTTGCGGTATGCAGGCCTCTCACTGTTGTGGCCTCTCCCGTTGCGGAGCACAGGCTCCGGACGCGCAGGCTCAGCGGCCATGGCTCATGGGCCCAGCCGCTCCGCGGCATGTGGGATCTTCCCGGACCGGGGCACGAACCCGCTTCCCCTGCATCGGCAGGCGGACTCTCAACCACTGCGCCACCAGGGAAGCCCCAAAACAGATTTTGATTAAAGTTAGATAGATTTGTATTAACGTTAGGAGTTCATTGCAAGAATCTCAGAGAAAAGGTGGGAAACTTAGTCAAGAATAGTGCTGGCTGGGAATTCCCTTGTGGTCCAGTGGTTAGGACTCCGCACTTTCACTGCCGAGGGCTCGGGTTCATTCCCTGGTCAGGGAACTAAGATCCCACAAGCGCACAGTGGCGTGGCCATTAAAAAAGAAAAAAAAAAAAGGAATAGTGTTGGCTTGCAATAGAGAGGAAGGAAAGAAGATGAGACCTTTTAATGGGAAAATTAACTAGGATTTGGTGACTGAACCTTTTTTAAAAATGAGGATTTGTGGGGAGGATAGGGGAGAGACAAAGTGGGAAATAAGCTTTGGATATTGGGTAGTTAAAATTGTGGTGTCATCAGCAGTTCTTGAAGCTCTTATGTAATATGTTAATTAAAAGTAAAGTTTATTAATTGGAAAATGCTTAATAGTGTTATATTTCATTCAAATGCTGCTTAAATTTAAGCTTTTTATCATATCAATTTTCATAATATGCTGCCTCAAATAACAATGAAAAGTTAAGACTTGAATTATTACCATTTTCATATAATTTCATTTCTAAACAGACTTCTAAGTATTTAGTATCTGTTCAGTATTTGTCATGATTGCTGTAGCAAATTATAAATCTAGTGCCTTAAGCAATAAAAATACCTTGTAGTTCTGTGGGTTAGAAGTTTGGCATGGGTCTCACTGGACTAAAGTCAAGGTGTCAGCATAGCTGTGTTCCTTTCTGGAAACTCTAGGATAGAATTCATTTCCTTCCATTTTCCAGCCTCTGGAGCCTCATGGTCCCCTTCTTGCATCTTCAAGTCAGCAGCATAGCATCTTCCAGTCTGCCTCTGACTCTTCTGCTTCCCTTGTATGAGGACCCTTGTGATTACATTGGGCCCACCCTGATAATCCAGGGCTGTCTCCCCATCTCAAAGTCTGTCTACTCTTTTAGTCATATCTGCAGAGTCCCTTTTGCCGTAGTTACAGGTTCTTGGGACTGAGATGTACACGTCTTTGGGAGCATTATTCTGCCTCTACTACATTATCCAGTGGGATACTTCATGTTCTGTGAGAACATTTTCTAAACTGAGGAGATAAGTGGTGGGATGAAAATGTTTTTAGAGTAACAGATGTAACACTGGGTTTTTTAAAAAAGTGGATTTTTTCCCCAAGTAGATAGAAAATCATGTAATGACATATTATGACATAATACAGAAGACAACAGCTCACTTGCATTCTTACCATTGTGCTATATCATACCATAGTGTGACTTTTCCAAGATTGAAAAAACTTTTAATATTATGAATTTATTTTTAGGTTCATGATTGGAAAACAAGGAGCATCAAAGCAACCAATTATGTTGAAAGCAACTGGAAGAAACAGTGTAAGGAACTAGTGAACTTAATATTTCAATGTGAAGATTCTGAACCATTTAGACAACCTGTTGATTTGGTTGAATATCCAGTAAGTTGTCGTTATCTGAATGTTCGGGGCTTTTTTTATTTGTGTAGAGGAGATTGGGGCAGAGGTATTCAAATTAAAAAGTAAGGTGTCTAGAATTCCCTGGTGGCCTAGTGGTTAGGATTCTGGGTTTTTCACTGCCGTGACCCGGCTTCAATCCCTGGTTGGGGAACTGAGATCCTACAGGCCACGTGGCGTGGCCAAAAAAAAAGAAAGAAAGAAAAAAACCCCAGCAACCAAAAAGTAAGATGACTAGGCTTCCTGTTAACTTTGTCTCTGACCACTAATTCAGCTGTGGAAGTGTTGTTTTACACAGTTTTCTTGAATTAATAGACACCCTTGCAACTGGGGTTAAGACTTAGTTAACCAGTGTTACATAATATAATTGGAGGATTAGTAGGCCCAGCCCCAGGAAAACTATGAATTAGTTAAAAGTGTCTGTCTTTACTTTCTAATAGGGAAATGGAAAATGACCTTAAAAAAAAGAAAGCACAAATTTACTGTAGGAAGCTTAGAAATTATAGAAGGGTATAAAGAAGGAAATAAAAACAATTTCATATCTTGCTTCCAAGTATATAATTTTGTTATATTTCTTGTCCATATGTTTGGATGTCTTCTTTAAAATTATTGATGATTCTTAAGATCCTTGTAACCTTTTTTTCTTCTGTCATTTTGAATATTTTAGAGATTTGATGCACTTATATTTCAAAAACAGGAATCGAATCTTTGAACTAATTATTGTTTTTAAAACCTAGGATTACCGAGATATTATAGATACTCCAATGGATTTTGGAACAGTAAGGGAAACTTTAGAAGCGGGAAATTATGACAGCCCTTTGGAATTTTGCAAAGACATCCGGTTGATATTTAGCAATGCAAAAGCATATACACCAAATAAAAGATCAAAGGTAATTTTAAAAGTGGTTTATAAAAAAAATAAACAGTACGTGTGATCTGTGTAGATGGTAATTTTCTAGTGTTTGGTAGAGGTGGGAGCATAAAAGATCAGTGAGTAGAGTAAGACCACTGTTAAGCATACAGTGCCACCGCCCAGGCATATGTTTAGGGAACATCATTTCCTTGTGACACTGTTCCGCTTTCCTCAAGTTTTATAAACGAAAGAGGATTGGTGCGAGTGACGACACCATTGAAAAATGAACAGATTTGTATTTGATGTATAGAGTGAGAAAAATGTGTTTTCTTACATATGGGAATCTTGAAAAGTGGATCGGGAACTTAGTGACAGAGGCTGGAAGAATATTAAAAGTAAGAAAAGGAAAATCTGAAGTGGGCGTGGACTGCTGATGGCATACTAACATTTTTTTATCTGAAGAAGAAACACATCGGCCATCTGATTAGTTAAGAACACAAGTAGAGTGGACATTCCTAAATTTTTGTTCAAATGCTCTTTGTTGGATAACTTTTCAAAACTTGTTGAAACATAATAAATGCACAAAAGGGTACACATAACTCTCAGTGAATATTCATAAACCTTTGTAGCCGGTGTGCTGGGTAATTTAAAAAAAAAAAAAGCAATAATTTGAGAGTAAGACTTTAAAATAAAGCCCTTGCTTGATGTTGCGGCACTTTGTGTATCATCAGTGACTATCACTGCTAATTAACCATTTTGTCTTAATTTCACTTCCCCCTCATTACTTATTATCAGACTCTGCCTGCATTAATTCTTCTCTTAATCTGAGAACCTTTTCATTGCATTCAGTATCCAAATTGCTTATTGGATCAGTTTAACATACAAGTCTAACATTTTTCCAAGCTTATGTTATTGTCTGTATTCACCATTTGTGAGACTTTCTTTCCAGACAGAAAATAAATTTCATTCATGCCTTTTTCCCTTTTGTTTAAAATATGGTTGAGGATACATCATACAAACTCATGCATTTGAAGTGCACAATTTAGTGGGTTTTAGTATATTAACAAATTTTCAAAATTGTGGTTACATATATATATATAAAACAAAATTTATCATTTTAACCATTTTTAAGTATATAGTTCACTGGCATTAATTACATTCACAGTGTTGCTCAGCCATCACTGCTGTCTATTTCCAGAACTCTTTCATCATCCCAAACAGCAACTCTGTCACCAGTAAGCAAGTAACTCCACATTCTCCCCTTCGCTCAGCCCTTGGTAACCTCTAATTTACTTTGTATCTCTCTGAATTTGCCTATTCTAGATATTTCATACAAATTGAATCACACAATATTTGGCTTTTGTGTCTGGCATATTTCACTTAAAATAGTATCTTAAAGGTTCATCCATGTTGTTGCCTGTATTGGAGCTTCATTCCTTTTTTTGGCTGAATAATATTTCATTGTATGGGTGTATGACATTTTGCTCATTCATCTTTTGATGGACACTTGAGTTTCTACTTTTTGGTTATTGTGATTAATGGGAATACATTTGTAAGTATTTGTAAGATTTCTTGGGTATATATCTAAGAGTGGAATTTCTGGTTCATAGAGTAATTCTACGTTTAGCATTTTCAGGAACCACCAAACTGTATTCCATAATGGCTGCACCATTTTGTATTCCCACTGGCAATGTACGAGGATTCTAGTTTCTCCACATACTTGCCAAAATTTGTTATTTTCTGTGTTTTTTAAAAAAATTATAGCCATCGTAGTGAATGTGAAGTGTTATCTCCTTGCAGTTTTGATTTGTATTTATGTTATGACTTATTAAAAATTATATCTAGAATTTATTTTAATCAGGTATAGTAAGACATGCAGACATGAATTGTCACGAAGGAAGAAGTTTATACTCACAGATCCCTAGAAACAGAAGAGTGTGATACAAGGTTGATGAATAGGCAGAGGGGAGGCGAGGGAAGGGAAGAGTATGGCGCAGAGCTTAGATTGGGTTTTTCACAGGACGGCAAGGCAGGGCAGAGTAAACAGTCTAGGATTGGCTAGTTTGTAGTAATTGGAGCTTTGATCTGTAGGGGTGGTCTCTAGATGTCTGATTCCTGGCCCTGGGGTGATTTGGGTAGGGGGAATATTGGCTTGGTGTATGAGAGTTTGATAAAGAAGACTTGTTAGGTGTTTGATCTCTGGATTGATTGTTTTCTGTATCCCCTGCAAAAAAAAGCCACGTGCTATCTCTGGGAACTAGCCCTGGGATGGGGTAGTCTCTTCCAGGATCAAGGCTCCAAATGCCAGAGCATCAAGGATACAGAAAATAAGAAAATATAGTCAGTACACTAATGATGTTGAGTATCTTTTCATGTGCTTATTGACCACTTTTATATTTTCTTTGGAAAAATATCTATTCAAGTGCTTTGCCCAATTTTTAATTGGATTTTTGTCCTTTTGTTGTTGAGTTATAAGAATTTTTAAATATATTCTGGATATTAAGTCCTAATCAGATGAATGTTTTCCAGTTATTTTCTCTGTAGGTTGTCTTTTCACTTTTGATAATGTCCTTTGATGCACAAAAGTTTTTAATTTTGATGAAGTCCAATTAATCCATTTTTTTTTCTTTGGCTTCTTGTGCTTTTGGTTTCATGTTTAAGAACCCATTGCTACTTAGCGTCACACAGCCTGTAAGATGCCCAACACTATTATGGAGCAATTTGAAAATTATGTGTCAGAAGCTTAAGTGCCATTTGACCCATTAATTCTAATTTTTTTTTTTTTTTTTTTTTGGTATGCGGGCCTCTCACTGTTGTGGCCTCTCCCGTTGCTGAGCACAGGCTCCGGGCACGCAGGCTCAGTGGCCATGGCTCACGGGCCCAGCCGCTCCGCGGCATGTGGGATCCTCCCGGACCGGGGCACGAACGCGTGTCCCCTGCATCGGCAGGCAGACTCTCAACCACTGCGCCACCAGGGAAGCCCCATTAATTCTAATTTTAATAATTATTTTTTATAGACAGTCAATGTTAACTGTGGAAAAGACTACTTGCACAAAACATGTATATTAAGGAGTAATTTATAGAGGCAAATGTTTGGAAATAGTGTTCAAAATAGTTAAAAAAAAATCCACTGCCAATCCAGTGTCATGAAGATTCACCTCATGTGTTCTTCTAAAAGTTTTATGGTTTAGTTCTTATGTAAGCTGTTGATCCATTTTGAGTTAATATTTGTATATGGTGTAAGATAGAGGTCCAGTTTATTCTTTTGCATGTAGAAATCCAGTTGTCCCAGCAACATCTGTTGAAGTGACTATTCTTTCCC